AAAAAAAAAAAAAAAAAAAAAAAAGAAAAAGGCAGACAACACAATAGGAAAATTGTTAAAAATACCTGAAAAGGGCATTTGAAAAGATTTAATTTTATTAGTAATTAGGGGAACAAATTGCCACCAACACCACCCAATTGACAAAAATGTTAGACAATGGCAAGTATTGAGCAGATGTAGCAACAGGAACTGATATCCAATTGGTGGGAGTATAAATTGCTTGTAAAAACAGTTGAGTGTTAACTTTGCAAAACTGACACACCCCATGAGCTAGCAGTTCCCTTCTCCGATTGCCTCAGAAACTCATGAACATCTGTGGCAGGACCTACACAGATGTGCACAGCTGCGTTGTCTAAAATCCTGGACTGGGCACAGCTCTTACGGTTCTTAGTACTACAGTAGATAAAGTAATTAAAACAGAAGGGCAGGGATTTCGCTCAGTGGTGCTGCTGCCAGCCTTGCAAGCAAAAGGTCCTGAGTTCGATTGAAAAGAAAAGGAAAAAAAAAACAAAACAAAACAGTCGCAGTTGGATAACAGCTAGAACAAATCTATCTGGGTTTTTGTTTGTTTTTTTGGTTTTTTTGGTGGTACTGGGGATCAAACTCGAGACCTTGTGCTTGCAAGGCAGGTACAGTGACTGAGCTAAATCCCGGGCCCTAGAACAATAAATCTCAAAACATACTGAGTAAATGTAGCAAGACACAAGATCCAGTCATTTTAAATAAATTCATTCTTAGGGATATGTGCATAGATGGTAAAGTTAGAAAAGGAAGGAAGTGTTTACTAAAAGCTTATAAAAAGCAAGCCTGGCATAGTGGCACACACCTGTAATCCCAGAACTTGGGAGCTGAGGCAGGAGGATTGCTTTGAGTCCAAGGCCAGCCTAAACTACATAGTGAGATCTTGTTTCAAAAAAAAAAAAAAAAAGAGTCAACATAGCTGAGCATGGTGGCACATGCCTATAGTCCCAGCACAGGAGGCTGAGGCAGAAGGATCACTTAAATTCAAGGCCAACCTGGATCTACTGAGACCCTGTCTCAAAAAAATGAAAAAACAAAAAACCAAGTAGACCCTAGGGGTATAGCTCAGTGATAGGGCATGTGCTTATCATGTGTAGGGACCTGATTTCAAGCACCAGCACCAAAAACCCATAGTAAGGAAAATGTGTCAATAGTGATTATCTTTGGAGAAGAGAAGAGTATGATAATGGAAGAGTTTGGGGCTGGCTTTTCCATTTTTCCTTTTTGCCAGTAACCCAGGGCATTATTCCAGTGAGCTACATTTAAACCCTTTTCAATTTTATTTTGAGACAGGGTCTTGGTAAATCACCAAAGCTGACCTCAAATTTGCAATCCTACCTCAGATTCTAGTAGTTGGGATTATAGGAGTACACCACCGCACCTAGCAGTTCTTAGCCTGTGGAATGGTAATATAGGGATTGACTAATTTTTGTTACATTAAACAGAGGGCTGAACATGTAGCTCAGAGGGTGAGCATTTGCCTAATATGTGTGAGAGACCCTGGGCCCAACCCCCAATACTGCAAAAGAAAAAAAAAAAAGTATATTCTGTGCCCTTACCTGGTAAAAGGAAAACTGAAAATAAGAGGATAAAACAGTTACAAAATAAGTTGGATGCTACACTGTCATCAGTAGGGATGAGAGTTCAGTGAGGCTGGGTCTGAGTAGTGTCAATGGCCCGTGATGGAAGGGGCACCAGTGACCACAGCAGGTGGCCTTGGCCAGCTACTACAGAGGCAGTAGCAGCTTCCTCTGCTCAGGTGGGAGGTACACCCTCAAGGTATAGAAAAATCCAGAGGGCCAAGCCAAGAGATGCTGCCCAGTTGCCAGAAGATTGGGAAAAGAGCTGTCAGCACTTTTCATATTTTTTTTTTTTTTTTTTTTTTTTTGAGGCAGGGTCTCACTATGTAGCTCAGGCTAGCCTCAAACTTGCAGTGATTCTCTTCCCTTAGCCTGCTGGTGCTGGAGTTATAGGCATGTGCCACCACACTTGGCTCATATAGGAAGTTTTAAAACCTGAATGAAGACCAAAATACACTGTGAGCAAAATGATTATTGAAGAGAGACAGGACCCAACCACAAAATAGCTAATTTAAAAAAAAGGGATCTTAACCTACTATCCTAAAGCTAATTCATTTATTTCCCCTTAGTCCTTAACAGGTGGAACTGGAGGGGAGGCAAAGGGCCAATGATACCTACCTTGTGTCTGCCCTGGCTGCATGTTGGGGAAGAACTCGGGCCTCATGCAAAGAAAGCAAGCGATCTACCTACTGAACTACACCCTAAAGCTGCTGTGGCTTTAGAGTGGTGGTCCCAGGTGGGTCTCAGTGTCCCGTGGGAATCAGGCCTCTGCCCTGTTTCCCTGGGTCCCAGGTCAGAACCCTGCACGAGCCCCAGGGCAGTGGGAGAGGCTGGTGGGAGGAAGGCTTCGACGCCCCTCACTTGCCTGCCATTGTCCCCAGCTGGTGGCTGGTGTCAAGTACTACCTGACCATGGACTTGGAGAGCACAGCATGCCGGAAGACCAGGGTCTCCGGAGACCACATGGACCTCACCACCTGCCCCCTGGCCACAGGGGTGGAGCAGGAGGTAAGAGTGATGTCCCATGCCCGGGCCCTGTGCGGAGCCTGAGGCCCCTCAGCTTGGCCACCCTGAGCTGGTCTGGCTGGCCAGGCGGAGGCCTGGCTGAACCTGCCCAGCCTTGGTGACTCAACCTCCAGGCCTGTGTGTGGCCCAGGGAGGTGAGGCCGGGGCTTCCCCAGGGCTGGGAGTTGGCTGGAAACATCTGGGAGCTGGATCTAGCTCTGGCCACCTGACTCCATGTCCATGTCGCTCAAGCCAAGGAATGCCCATCTCTGCCCCCGAGCGTGGTGGCAGGCAGAGGGCTGGGTGCTGGGAGGAGGCTGGGGCGGGCTCAGCCCTCCTTGTCTCCCATGCCGTCTCCACAGAAGCTGCGCTGTGACTTTGAGATCCTTGAAGTCCCCTGGAAGAATTCCACCGAGCTTCTGAAGCACAAATGTATGCAGCAGTGACTGACCCCAGGGCCAGCACCAGAGGGGCTGCACACAGGGTGGAGGGCACTGCTGGGCCCCAGGCCACATGGGCTGCAATAAACAACCAGCGCTGCTTCTTGCATTGGTGTCTCCCGTGTGCTTCACTGCTTCCCCTCCTGATCCCCACTCCTGCTCCTAGTGGCTTCCAGGACACCCAGGCACCCCCAGGGCAGCTTCTGCTGTCTGCCCAGCAGGCCAAACAGCCCAGCATCACACCACGGAAGCACAAACCTCCAGAGCCCCAAACAGCCAGAGCTCCCAACAGGGTCTGTGGTAGGGAGGCAGTGGGAGACTGGCATGAGAAGGATGATGTCCCCTGCCTGGCCTAGGATAGTGTCTGTGAGCGCTCTGCGGGGAACATGTGCCCTGCTGTTCTCGGCGGTGAGGAGCAGCTTGGGGTTCAGCTGTGGGGTTCAGCTTGGCTCACCCCAAGGACACCGATCTCCCACCCACACCCCCCTTCCCAAGCCTGCATGTGGCCCAAAGCCCAGCACCTGTCCTGCAGCTCCCTGGGGCCAGGAGGCCACGAGGCCAGGGCAGTGCTTCTCATGTCCTCACTGTGGCCCACGCACCAGGGGGACTCTCCCATGCCTTGTCCCAGGCAAGGCCCCTGCAGGTGCTTGCCCAAGTGAGTAAGCTCAGATCTGCTGCCCACAGAGGGAGGATTCTCAGAGGAGGGATAGGTTTGCTTTAACATCCTCTAAGGGAAACAGAGTTGCGACATTTTTGCCACTGGCATTTGTGGTTGCAATCCCAAGTCTCCCATGTGCACACGCACAGTCAGGTAGATCTAGACACCACGGAAGTATTATGGAAACCACCATCACCCACCGGCTAGCTACCCAGAAGGCCAGGTGAACAGAGCAGGGGTCCACCCCAGGGACGTGACCTGGAGATATGTACCAGACCCCAAACACCCAGGCTGGTGCCCCAGGTGCCATGCCCAGAGGGTTCCTCAGAGACACCAGTGCATACCCATGCCGGGGACAGGACACAGTAACCATATGCGTTTGGAGCCCTGGATGTTGGCAGAGTCAGGCTGGGGCCAGCAGCCTAAGGGTGGCATGGGGAGTACCCTGGGAGCCATATACAACTAGTGAATCTCAAACAATACTGAGCAAATTATGAAAAACATAAAATGATGTGTTTCCACCTCTGTAAAATTAAGAAATTATTGTGCCAGGGATGGAGCTCTGTGGTAGAGCTGTGAGAGAGTGCCTGCAGGAAAGCACTGAGGCCCTGGCTTCAGTCTCCGTATGGGAAGCAAAAAGTAAGTTTTTGCTTAGTTAGTTCTGCATAAGTGATGAAACTAAAATGAAAACCATGGAAATGGTTGTTGTAAAAGTGAGCAGTAAAAATAATATCAACAGTGACCATCTTTGGGGAAGAGGATGAAAGTATGATTATACAAGGGCTTGGAGGTGGAAGTGGCATTTCCCTTTTTTGTTGTTATTTTTTTGCTTGTTTTGTTTTGTTTTTTTTGTAACAGGGTCTCACTATGTAGTCAAGACTAACCTGGAACTCACTGTGTAGCCCAGGCTGGTCTTGAACTCACAGTGATCCTCCTGCCTCAGCCTCTTGAGTGCTGGGGTTACAAGCATGCACAACCACACTGGGCACATTTCCCATTCTTGACCTGTGGGGTAGAAATATAGTCATTGACTTTGAAATCATTTGATAAACAGAACATGTATAGTCTGTTTCATATTCTTTTTTTTTAGGGATGAGTCAGGCCAAGCATATTTAATAACCCTTACTGAGAGAGAGCTGAAAACTACCTGACATATTTCCTAAATCAGTAAATCATATTTGGGTACAAATGATCAAAAAGGGGGATTGTCACCGACCTCAAGGCCACAGGCAGATAGGATTCTGGGTCCCAGGGTGAGTCCAGGATGTGGAACCCTGTGAAAGGCAGCTGTGGCAAGTGGTGTCTGTCCGATACCAGGTTCCAGGCAGGGAGGGATAGCAAGCGTTGGCTCAGAACAGGGAAGGAACCTGAGTTGGTGCTAGAACTTGCTGAGGCCATAGCCTCACTTATAGTTTTTGGCAGGAAACTCCTGCCGGCCTTGGCCCTTGCTGTCAAAGTTTCTCACTCAATGGATGATCTGCAGCTGTTGCTCAGTGGTGGCAGTGATGTTCATGTCATCTGGGATGTGGACATAACAGACATTTTGGCCCGTTACGAAGAGGTCATCTAGCTCAGCCTGGTGCCCCTGACGGTCCGTGTAGGTGACCTTGGCCAGGCGGATGTTCATGAAAGCATCGACGTTGTCAATGTGTCCGTGGCCACACTCTCATCCCGTAGGTCCACGGTGGTCACCTGGCCCTGAAGGCCCTGCAACAGGATGATCAGGCTATTCTCAGAGCTGGTCCGCTCCTTTCCCGAGTGGCTCACTGCCACTCTTCCACGCCGGCCGGCTGCTCGCTGTGGGCAGAAGCACACAGATGGGAGCTGTAGCAGGTGAAGGGCCTCGCTGCCAATTCACCTTCACTAGCTTCTCAAAATCCCCAGCACCGGCCTTCCCAGTCCTGACCAACTCCCCAGTTTTGGCCTTCATGCATACAGGTTTCATACACGCATCTCATAGTATTCTCAGATCACTTTACAAGCCAAGGATTACTTGCACCTATTTTTTAGATGAGGAAAATATGGCAAGGAGAGACCAAATCATTTTTATAACTTGCCCAAGATCACATAAATGCTAAGTGGAAGTGCTAGGATTCAGATCCATAGCTGCCTAGCCCCAGATCCCACACCAGTGGTTCTGAGTCTTTATGGTACATCAGACTCACCTCATGAGGTGAGGTTGGGTTTTGTTTTGTTTGTCTTTAGACAGGGTCTTGGTATGTATTCCAGGCTGAACTTGAACTTGTCGCAATCTTCCCACCTTAGCCTTCCAAGTGCTGGGATTACAGGCATTTGGCACTACACCCGGCCAACTTGGGAAGTTTTTACCTGGCCTCCACACCTCCAAGATTCTGATTTATCTGGTTGGGGGGGTGAGGCCCAAGTATCCTAAATTTAACAGCTCCCTGAGTAATTCTGATATGCTGACAACCTTGAGAACCACTCTCCTAAAGTAGTTTACATCCTTGCTACTCAAAATAGCAAGTGTTGTGGGCTGGGCATCCTCAGAGCAGTTGTGAAGAAATATAAAAGCTTGGTTCTTGCCAGGCCTGGTGGCACACACCTGTAATCCCAGTACTTGGGAGGCTGAGGCATGGGGTTGTCTCGAGTTGGAGGCCAGCCTGGGCTGCATAGTGAGCTGAAGGCCAGCCTGCACTACAAAGTGAAACCCTGTCTCAAAGAAAAAAAAGTGGGGGGGACTTGCTATAGACCTAATGAAACATAATTGACCCCTCTGTGAATTAGATAGATGTTAAAATTTGGAAATCAGGTGGGTGTGCCCCAGCACTTTGGGAGGCCGAGGCAGGAGGATCAAAAATTTGAGCAAAGAGGCAACTTAACCATTTATGAAGACCCAGCCTCAAAAAATAAAAATGATGAGGGGAGGGAAGAAAAGAAGTAAAAATTAAGACTTGTCATGTACATGTGCCAACTCCCCATGGTGAATATAATCATTATGTACTATAAACATGTACTAATAAAATTTTAAATTTTAAAAAAGGTCAACCTTTATGAAGAGCAAATAAATAAGACTGGGGATGTAGCTCAGTGTGAAGGCCCTGGGTTCAATCCTTAATTCATGCCGGATTCCTTCGCTTCCAGTGCTTGCGATCCTCCGGAAGCCCACTGGTGCCTAGCTAGGTTGCCTGCCACTGCCACCTCCTCGATGAGAAGCCACGGCAACACCGGCCATCGGAGATCTTAACACTAAACGCATAGGTGCTCCATCCTGCATCTCCTGAGGGCGTACTGTAGATTATCTTCTGTTTCATTTTCTGTGTATTGGCTATATCTCAGGAAAATAGAAGGAAAAAGAGCCAGGATGGAGCACTGGAGGGATAAATTTAATGCTGTGTTACATCAGTAGAGATAAGCGCTCAGTTAAGCTGGCTCTGGGCAATGTGTGTCCTTCACCCTGAGAGAGTTCCTGTGGCTACAGTAGGGCCCAGGTGTGGCTCCTGCTGCTTCCTGGGAGGTTGCTCCGGTGTCTGTAGCCTGGACTGAGGTGGAGAGAGGGCTTCCCTGGAGTTCCGGGCCATACTCTGTGTCTGATTTCCTGGATGGGTCCAGGCACACTCAGCCTCAACCTTTCTGCCATGATGCCGTCACACAGGTCTGATGTATTTAGGTGGGGGCTTGGTAGGGCCACAGTCTTCCCACACTTCAGTCCTGACACTGCCAGATTATTGCCTGTATGCTGTGAGGTGATGGAGACCCTTCTTCCTCCTCAAAGCCCTTCCTGTGGTTCCAGCTCACACCGGTTTTACTGGACTTGACGGTGGGTCCCTGGTGGACCTTATTTCTGTCTGCCCTGTTTCTTCATCATCTGTCTTTCCCTGGTTCACTCAGGGACTTTGTCTCCCCTCTCCTCTGGAGCCTGGCAATGCCCATGAAGAGTTGACAGACAACAGATTCTTAACTGGGCTCCCTATTCCGTCCCACACATGTTCCTGGATCAGTCCTGAGGCAGCAGGAGATAAAGGCCATCTAAAATGTGTGATGTGATAAAATGACCTCTCAGAGGCCCTGCCCTTACCTGGTCAGCAGGCCAGAGGAACCAAGACCTGGCATGCCAGAGGAGAAGGCAATCTTGGTGTGGAGGGGTAGGAGCCAGGGTCTTAGCATCAACACAGGGCCCATCAGATTGGGCCTGGTCACCCATTGCCTGGGGACATGGGTGGGCCTGAAAGTCAGCAATTACTCACCCAGAGCACCCCCACCTCACCCAGCCAGAGCTTGACTCCTCAGCCACTCTGGTCATGAGTGTTCAGATCCAGCTTGGAATTTAGGGTGAACCCAATTCATGTACCCAGCGTCTTCATGGTTTCTACCTGTTGCCCCTGGAAAGGAAGTAGGGGACAGATACCATCCAAGACACTTTCCTGCCCTGCCTGGTAACCACCCATGTGCTGTGGAAGGCACATAGTGGGTGCTTTTGGCTGTTGGTCTTCTAGGTTACCCCCTC